CCCCCAAGTGACTGTGCAAAAACTATACTAACGGGTAGTATGGAGTTCTTTATTCCCTGTGCATCATCGTCCGCCTGAAGGATGTTGTTCCGTTTGAACATTCCTCCTTCCAGTGGAGCGCTTTGCCGGAACATTCACCTCGAAAATTCAAAATGCTACGCATTATCGTTATATAATATAATCCTTCGGCCTAGAACCCAGCATGCTAGACTTAGGTATATTCGATTACTGTTATCATATCTCGATTCTTAGGATGCGTAGTGTAAAAATAAATAGTAAAATATTATATTACTAAATATTGAGGCACAATAATTTTATTTATTCATATTTTTTCCTGCCACCACCGCGAGAGGGCAATGTTCATTACCCTTATTGTTGGCCATAGCCCAACTGATGCCACAGGTGAATGACCGATGCGATTAATCGTGTGGCAAATAACAGCGCGTATTGAAATTTGGTGAACGGTGTCAAAATGAAAACTAATTCCTTTAATTTGTAAAAGAAATACTGGAGAATCCGGGCATCGATCCCGGTACCTCTCACATGCTAAGCGAGCGCTCTACCATCTGAGCTAATACCCCAATGTATTGGCAAACAGCGCGCAATCTAAACAAGAAAACTATTGTTATGTACGTTATCTACTCTTAACATTTGTTTTAAGATACATAATGAAGCCGGCTCACACAGATGTGAGAACAAACACACCAAAATCCGACCAATATCATCATATTTCTTATTCGTTCTAAAGTTTAAAGCGGGAGAGTCGTCTCCTGCGCATGCGTCAGATGGCCATAGCTTGTCATTGTTTACAAGCAGGCGTCTACACATGATCCTTTGCGTTTTTAGTGTGTGTTGTTGTCGCTTGGTACTCAATTCCCGCGCTGCGCGTGTGTCGACCCTCCCGCTTTAAGAATACAGTGTACGCAATGTTATGGGAGTTGAGATGGTTTAGACTAACCATGGAAGGTACTAACGGACTAAAACTACCGACGTATTTATTTACTCCTGTACTGCATTAGCAATTGCCGGGTACACCGGGTAATTGCCCAATCTAAACATCTCTCCTTTCATACAACACAGTGCATAATTACTCGTGTCTTGCTATATATGCATCATATTGTGCTGCAAATAACTGGACGCGGTGAGAGTATATAGTAAAGTGGCTTATTAGCTATGTAAATCAAACTAGATTCTTAATCCTACACTTCTTACTTACAATTCTTATTTTGGTATTTTGTAACAGATGAGTTTTTAGCTATAGCGCCACCAGTCGGTTTCCTTGCGAGAATGGGAGGGGGATTTCTAGCTCTCTCAATTTGTTCGCGGGTTTCCTTGGTTCTGATGAGCTATCGAACGTTTATGTAAATAAATAAATGTATATATGTATTGCTGAATTAGTGAATAGGTAATAACAGTGTACCAGTGGAAGCGAGCACTCTGCCAACACATTTACTTAAACCATTGACACCATGACGATATCCAATTCGCTTTTTCCGCTTCCTGTATGTATACTAGCATATAAATACGGTCACGTGTCTCAAACAAGTATACTCGCGTAGTGACAATGCCTTATATTTTTATGACAAGATATTCTATACGTGTGATGATACTGTGATGATATAGTCACGTGACTGGGTGTTTAGGGTATTCCTATACGGCCTAAAAATGAAAATATAATCTAAGTATTCAAAATGGAAAAAAATGTTGCGTTTTATTTTAATTGCAGTGTCAAATCTCATGACTAAAGCAATCAAATTTGTCTCACATGACGTGCACCGCCGCGTGGGAGCGATGTCATTCACCGTGACGGCCGCCGTACTTGCTGCGGACCAATGCAATGCAGATGAAGATATTGTTAAATGGAGCTATGTTGCCATGTCACAAATACAAAATATTTTAGAAATCCAATTGATGTTCAAGAAAAATAGCAACAGATGGTAAATTAATGAATGGGTAACTAAAAATGACAGAGAATCTTGGAATCAAGCGTTCTACAATTTGAGCTTATCTCCCGCAGATGATATTTAGAACGTTCTAATTCTCTCGGAAGAGGAATACAGCCAACAAATCTATGAAGTAAAATACTCTAAAGTCATATTCTTTTAAATCGTTTAAAGACTTGTAAATTCACCCTACTTAGTATATCATGTATTGTGCTAAATCGTGGTTTACACCATGACCACGAGTTACTTAAGTAGGCCGGGGTTTTAAATGACATTTAGATCATACACAATTTGGGTTCACTCGACAATTTATTTGAAAATAATATTCATAATAACTATGCAAATGACCAGACGTGATAAATGTATTCACTTATTATAAGTTTGTTATAATTATAAATATTTGACATTCCACAATACACACAGAGACTCAACAAAATACAATGTTATAAAATATATATACATGTACATATAACAACCGAACTGAGTACGTGAATTGTACCAAATTTACAACTGAATCATGCCGAAGTGACGTCAGTCTTTCACAAGTACACGTAGTACGTTACTTTAATCAAAGTTAACATGTATATCGTAGTGAATGGAGCCGATGCACATACACGGCATAAAATCACAGAGCTTGATGTCACTCGACTTGTCTTACGCTCGGCCTCCGTGTAAGCCCGGCTCGCATACTTAGCGGTTGTAATGCATGCTAAAATTTGCCCAAAATGACTACGTTTTTTTGTTGCAGGATTTCGAGAATATTAAAAAACTATATTCGAAGGAATATTTTAGTGATTTTAATACAACTAGATACAAATGAGGAGGGACATGATGTTAATGATACGAAACAAAAATACATGCGATTGTGACAGTCGTTGCGTGTATACCAAACAGAAGCCTCTGTTGAACTTTTTTATAACTATAACTAAAAAATACAATTTTTGACTAAGGAAAGCTATTTTTTCTTAAATTATGCTATATATGCCAAATAATAATATCAAATATAGTATTATTGATATAGTTGAGTAGTTATGTTGTCACGTGTGTCAAGTGTTACATGTATGACATATATCTCGACTTTACTGGTAACGTTGATTGTATATACGGTTTGGTCCAAGTGACGACGACGGCTCCGAAACAATTCCTAAGGGATTTTACAGTCGCTGTGTTGTATTCAATATGGGACTCACGCAACGTATACAACACGTGTCAAATACATTGTTTGTGCATCTATTACTATCTAAAAATCTAGAAAAACTAATTTCGATTTGTTATTAGCGCCACGCGCGAGCAAGTATTAAAAAACTTTCGTTTGTATTACAACTATATATGGCGTACCGAAACATAGTGTTAGCGTTTGTGCAGTGCCCAACAGAGAGCGACCAGGATGTTGCATTACAATACCGTCAGCGACGAATCATCATTGAGCACGTCTGGAGTTTGAGTACCAATTTCAGTGTCATCGGTAGCACCTCGATTAACATACGAGTTGGTGGTACTCATTTCATAGCCGCTAGACCGCTTGCTATCATCTTCATTCTTATCTTCCAGAGTGCGTCCAAACGTGAATACGTACAACCAGGCTGCAGCCAGAGCCCCGGCAAATGGACCAGCCCAATATACCTGTTAATTTTTAATAAAAATGAATTTGTTTAAGTGTTTTTTTTTTCGGGGGGGCATTATTTCTTCCAGGATGGCTATCTTGATATAGACACATGTTTAAACATTTTAACAAAACGAAATAGAGCCAACGTCTTCAGAAAGCAAAGAGTTGTAAATCATGTGAATTGTCCTTGTTTTTGTTGTTTTTTTGGTTCAAGTTGTTCGTCTGCTTGCTACACACCTTTCCAATACACGCCCTCTATCGACGAAAAAATTTTGTGACGTAATACTAGATGATAGCAGTATTATCCATGACGCCATCTTTGTATACTTGTTCTGACATCCGTCAATTACAACATTGTAACTATCGAGTTTATTATCGACAGAAGACCACAGATCGGAATTTCACGAACAATCAACGTCACAGAAGCGAATTGTCCGTAGATGGCGGGACCTTTTACTGTACCTAGTTTTGCACCACTTTTCCACTACTCGAGATGCGGTGTATTCTGCTGTACTTTCATTCGCTTCGCTCGTGAAAGTACGGCCGCATGATACACCGCATCACTCGTGAAAATAACTTCCATATGCAACGAAAGCCACGGGGAGGGTGTGGAGTTCTGTGATAATCTTTATATTATCAGAGGTACATTACTTGGGGTTTGCAACTACGGTGACATGATACCAAGATCCCGCTTCAATCTCGCTCTCGCATAAGCGTTTCAATGTAGAAAAATGCGAATGCGTATGCCCGAGGTAACTAGGATACTGGGATGTCCAGGTGGGTCAAAATAGCTGTTCACGATGTGACGGATTACGATAACTACTAGTATATTTTTTGTACATTTTCGATGCGTTACATTTTTCGCTATGAATGTGGTAATACATGTGTTATTGTTTTATTACAAACCGCCTATGTCATGTCAGAAGGTCGTAGCGTCAGTTTCGCTATCCACGAGATGAGACTTGAATGGGATCTTGGCA